GTTTCTGTAAAAGCATCTAAATTATTGCAGTGAGTTTCTTCATAGAAACTCTGCATTAACATTGCACCAAATGACATGAAGGCTATAAATCAACTTTTTTTTTTTTTCCTTTTTGTCTTTTTTACTGACCGGTAACGGGATCACAACCCTCAGTGTTGCGCCCGCACCGCGCTCAGCCAGTGAGCAGGAACCGGTCTCCACATGGGATCCGGACCCTCCCGCCGCCGCGCTCCCAAGCGGCGCACTCTCCAGTGTGCCACCGGGCCGGCCCCTATAAATCAACTTTTAAGGAGAATGCTAATCAGAAAGAGTTTGTGAAATACCAGTTTCATTGGTGATATGATGTCTCCCTCCTGTTCTTTGAGATAAGGAAGAAAGTATAAAAATAGTAGTTTAAAAGTTTTAAAAGTTCCTCTCAAATCTAGGGAAGGTAGCATCCAGATGTCACAAAATTAAAGGAATTTGCTACATGAGGTCATAGTAGAGAGAGACAACAGGAGCTATCTTGAATTTATTTCCCATGAGAAAGAGGAGTGGCCTCACAGAAATTAAAAAAGAGATAATCCCAGACCTTAAGGATTAGAAAGAAGAAGTGGGGAGTAGGGGTGAGTTTTGGAGGAAGTAGAAAGATGGTCCTGTGACAGCCCTTTAATTGTTCAGGACTCTTCGGTGTTGCCAACCCTCAGGAAAGGCGTGGGAGGCAACACCAAACAGGAAGTCAGCTGCACTAGTAGAGGGTCTTTTCCCCTGAGCTTGTAGGGGTTCTTCCCTAAAAAAGAAGGTGGCAATGCCAAGAGCGAGGGTCTGACCAAGCCTGGGAGCTTCTGCAACCGTAGGAAAGTAACACACAGAACTATGTTTCTGCTAAGAGGGTTCAAAGCCCCACCTTCCTTTCTTTTTCCCCTAGCTCTTGGGTCACCTAGTTGGAATTGGGAACTACTCCAACTAAACGTTTGTGAGGAACATCTACATCCAACTGGAACATAAGAGCATACAAAAAGCTAACCAGCCACTCTCTTTTAAAAGAAAATACAAAACTAACAACTCTCATTTTTATGTAAACGTAAATATCAGCTCTTTTCATAACAAAGACATAGAAAAAAGTATTAATAAAATTAACTTAACCATAGAAGATTGGTTTGTTAGATAATTACTGTTCTCTGTGTGCCTTTTTTTCCCCAGCAGTACAGAGCTGAAGTTGAATCCATATATCATAACAGTGCAATAAAATTAGAATCCCCCAGCAGTACAGAGCTGAAGTTGAATCCATATGTCATAACAGTGCAATAAAATTAGATATTATTCACAAAAATATAATTAACTCTCACCAAAAAAATTGAACATTTGAAAGCAGTTCTGTAAATAATTCTCGGGTCTAAGAAAACACAATCATCTCCCCTGATAACTAACTGTGCAATTATTGGAAATATCAAGTAGTTTTTATAAGCTGACCAGTTTCAAACTATAGCCTCAAACAAGAGCTCCCCTCAAACTATAACAACCCCCACCCCAAAACCAAAAACCTTAGTAATAAACATCAAGTGAGCAATACCTATAATCATACTTTAAAGTGTGAATAAGGAGGGAAAGTGTAACACATATGGACTGAATAAGAAAATTATGACAAATGGAAAATCACTCCAAGTATTTAAACAGAAGACTAAATATAAAGATGCTGATAATTTTTGCCAGATTAAATTCTAAATTTAACGTAGAATGTCTCCAAATCCTAAAGATAATATTTTGAGATTTGGAAAAAAATTTATTTCGAAGAAATTATACTGAGTAATATGAAATTCTTTGTAATAGCAACAACAATAAAACACTATAGCAAAGGAAAACTGCAACTCTGGGAAAAAATTGCGACCTATATTTGACAGAGCTGATATTTGTAACACATAAAGAGTTTTTACAAATCAATAAGAACAAGGCAAACACCATAGCAAAAGAATGTAAAGTGTATAGCAGTAAATTCACAAAAGGAAAGTTTGCCTACTCCTATTGAAAGTCCTGTCCTTGCTACCAATTTTCAATTACTGAATTATCAATACAGAAAAAATTGGTGGACATGTTGACAGTAGGGCAGGGACATAGGCCTTTCAGTCATTGTAGATAAAATCATTAATTGATACCTCCTTTTTTGAGGAACACTTAGAAACATATATCAAAAGCTACTAAAAAGTTTGTGCTTTTTGACCCAGCAATTCCAATGCCAGGAATATTCCTAAAGGAGTAGTCAGAAATATGTACAAAAATGATTNTTTCTACAGTAAGAGTGAAGTAAAATATACTTGGAAATCCACCAAAATGTTAACTAGTAGTTCTCTCTGAGTGGCCAAACTATGGGTAATTGTTATGTCCTTCTTTGTACTTTTTTTTCTTTTTGAGCTTTAGATAATGAATATTTACTATTTTATCATTTAGGGAAACTACAATATATATTATTTTAAAATATGTTTGCTTTCACAATAAAAGGATAATATAAGAATATTTTCATATTGTAATTCATAATGAAAAGCTATTTTAAGAATATTTTCATTATTAATATTTGTTAATATTTTTATTATTTCATAATGAAAAGCTAATATAAGAATATTTTAGTATTTTAAAAAAATACCTTAAAATATCCTATATCATTTGAGAGGGAAAAGGTGCTTTTCTAAGAACTTCTCTGTACGAGACCATTCCATTTTTGCTACTAATGCTGCGAGAACTGACAATTACCTTTGCCTTTAGTGGTCACCTTAATAGAGAGGTAAAGGACAGGAGCCTTCAGGGATGAAGGGCTAAATAGAGGAAATGAAGTGATGTGTCACGTTGCTGACACTGGAGTCTCAGCGTGTGCAGTCCTTTTTTACTATGGGTGGAAAACAGCTGAGGTTAGATGCTGGCCAAGTTCTTGCTTTTAAGTTTCAGTTTCAGAAGAACATCTGAAAAAAAATGACCAAGTGAAGCCTTTTCTGGTTTCACACGTTATAAGCCCTTGATACTTAGGCCAGGCTCCTGTTCTTGCTGAGCCTGAAATAGGCAACACCTAACTACAGAGGCTCTCATCTACTTCCCAAGCCTAAACCTCGGGGGCAAGCCAGCAGACGCGGGCAAGTGGCGATTATAGTCCCGAGACAGAGGGACTACAAACTTCACTGTCATTTCTGAGTGAGTTATGATTTTAAGACTATGCTAGTATTGTTTGGCTTCTTAGAATAGTCTTTTGGTTCAATAGCTGCTATTTGTTTAATTATTGTTTATTATTATTATTCTTGTAAGCCATATTTCTTTATAGCTTATGAACCATTTGGATAAAACCTAGAAATCTTGTTAGCACTGATGAAACAAAGCTTCACATAATTGCTACCAAGTCAGACTTCCCCCCATCCCCTGGTCCTACCATCTTTGTGATTTCCATTACTCAGTCAGACAAACAAATTTATATACAAAACCCCAAAACACTGCTTTTTAAAATTCTCCAGATATATAGTATAAATATTATTGTAGTGGGTCAGATGTTATTTAACTTACACGTATAATGTTTGTAAAGTTCCTGAAATAAAGATTGACTTGATAACAAAATCTAACTATTATTTGATGTCATTTCTAAATTATATTATTGTAAAAAACTTTATTTGGTGGTTGGATAAGTGAGGAAAGCTGATGTTCCAAGTTTTTTAAAAGAGAATGTATTTGAACTATATCATGCTCTTCTTTTCATTTCCATGTTTGTCCTCTTAAGATTAGTATAAAGGGACCATTTTCTCCCTAAATCCCACTTGAGACAGATGTCTCTCTATTTGTGTTCAAACACAGTTAGATCAGTAATTACCCCTTAGTAATTCACCTTAAACTAAGCAAGAGAATACATTCTAGTTCTGTTTTTCTCAAAGTACAGTCTTTGGGTCAGCTGTATCAATATCGGGGAGGAAGAAGGTAGGAAGGAAGGGAGGGAGTTTTGGAGATATGTTCTTACCCCAGGAGGCAGATCTAGGTCTGGGGTTATTTGAGTGAGCTTTTGTTAACCAGAAGGTGGCATGATTGTAGATGTCAGGGATTTTGAGACATGGGTCATCAGATGATAAGCAAGGAATATAGACAGGAAAGTGTCAGAAGCTAACAACAAATTTAATTTAGAGTGTTGCCTAGAATCATACCACATTGGGTGATGATACTTAGAAATGCTCGTCACCATTATCACCGTAGTCATCGTCGTCATCATCACCATAGCTATCATTTATTAAATGAATAGGCACTTGCTAATAAGTGGAAGATGAGCATGTTCTACATATATTACTTTATTTAATTTTCCCAATAACCATTGAGTAGATATCTCTTTTTGACAGATGAGTGAACTGAGGCGGAGGCTTAGGCCAAAGAACTTGCTCAAAGTGATAAAGTTAGTACAGGATATGGGACTTGAACTTAGGTCCCTGTGATCTAGAAGTCCCTGCTAGTAATCAGCTACAGATAACAGGAATTTCTACAACAGCTTTTCCTGTCACATTTATAGGAATCATGTAATAGCTTTTTTGCTTCTGTCCACATGGAGTGAGTATTGGGGTCAAATCACTAAAATCTACTAATGGATGAAATGCTCATAGTGTAGTCAGCTCTGATAGTTTTAGCAATTTAAAAGAGCACTGATGATTGGTGTCATAAAAGCCATAACACCCATTTCTAGAAAGGAAAAGGCAACTAAACTGCATTTTCAATCATTATATTGCATGAGCATTTGGCAAATCTGTCACTGCTTCTGGCTGTTGTCTTTTTTAAATGCAAGTATTTCTTTGCATGGATTTCTTTACTTCATGATCTTTTTTTGTGTATTGTGTTTTCTTTTTGAAATCAAAGCTTGGGAGTTGTTTAATCTTAAAAGATTTTAAAACAGTCATATTTTAATATGAATGCTCTTAAATTGATGCTACTTGCTTAAATGATGTGAAATAGCTCGACAATGTTCCTGTGACCTGTTTTTATACCTTTTGATATTTTATATGATCTTCAATCAGTTGGACAGATAATAACTGAAACCTTGGCACCGAGCTACCTCTGCTACTATGACACTGAGCACGGTGTTAGCGGCGCAGATGAACGGGGGAAGCCCTTGAGGAATCTGGAGATTGACACAGGCGGAGGTAAGGGTGCATCATTACCTAGGAAAGACCTTCAGAAAACCTCTGCAAAAGAGCCTATTTCCATCTTTCATCTTCCTATCCTTGTTTCTTTCTTCTGCCACCTTTTTTTTATCTTTTCTTTTTCTTTTTTGTAAAAATATAATTTCAACTAATGAATATGATGGCAGGAAGTGGTTGAGAGCCCTGAAAGGGAGATTTAAAACTGACATCAGGTATGAATGTTACTATTCTTTTTTGAATATATTGGTGCCTAAGATAAAACAAACAAACAAACAAACAAACAAACAAAAACACTTTAGATTACAAAATACTGTTAGGGATTTTCAGATCAGTCATATTTCATAGCCAGCCTACCAGTTGGTTGACCAGGTAGGTGAATTTGCCTTAGCTGAACCAATCAGAGACATTGAGAGCCAAGGCACATTTCATGATTAATTTGAACTTCATGTTTTTTTAAATTAGGAAAGAATTCTTGCCATCAGCGTATGACCTGGCTCTTGGTGAGGAGTGTTCCATCTGCAAGAGTGCCAGTTACAGTGATTCAACAGAAGATGACCCATATATATCTGGTCAAACTTCCTCTGTCCTTGAAATCGGGCTTTCCCATATTCAGTGAATGACTTTTTCAAAATGTCCTGTTCTGAATACATGCATGTGTGTATGTGGGGGAAGTGATATTCATTTTATTAATCATATGATCCCTTATGATCTCCCCATTCATCTGCAATGTAGGCACAGCAGTTATTATTGATCAATCTAATTCCAGCAAGAAAATCTAATTAAGTGTAAGCAGTGGGAGGAGAGTGTGCAAGGAAGACTTGTTAGGCCTTTCTGTGTGCCAGTGACTATGCTAAGCATTTTGCATAAACTATCTCATTTACTATCACAAGGGTTCTGTAGTCAAGCATTGCTATTCTCATTTTATGGATAAGAAAATGAAAGCTTTAAGAGGTGTTATTTCCCAAAGTCATGTAACTTGTGAGTGGCAGGGCATTCTCACCCAGGTCTGTCTGATTCCCAAGTGCACATTCATTCCACTAAATCAAATTGCCCCTATTTGTGAATATTGCTTCCTCTCCTACATCAATTTTTTTCCAAAAGCCCTTGAGGTTACCATCAAAAAACACGTCATGTTTTTATACTGATATTTCTTAGAATAGCTTCATTTATTCTTTCTCCCACGCTTCAGGAATGTCGTGTCTGACTCCCCTATAGTGTCTGTGTTCATATAGTAGCTCAGCTGGATGCCATTAGCACTTTCTGTCCTAGAATTTAGGCATAATATGTGATCACATGGTGGCTAAGTAATCTTATTCCCGTTTTCCTGAATACTCTTTAATTAATCCATAAATTTAGAGGCCAGCTTAGAAAAACAGAGGACTTTATTTAAATGTTTTTCATAATTTACTTTTTAATATATTTTCATGCAGGAATTTGAATGGCAACAGATATACTATTAAAGAGGCTTGTCACATGCTGTTTCTCATTATTTCAATTTCATTTTGTTTCAAATGCAGTAATAATCTGTAATGAAATAAAATGTACCAAATTCTCTCAGGTATGGCTACATGTTCCCTGAGCAAATATTTAGTTCTACATTTCTCTTCGAGAGCTTCTAGGTACAATTTAGGAAATAACTGCTGTGACATACTGAAGGCCACCTATACAAGTCCAGCTCAGTCACACTGATAGACCTGAAATTCCTCTTTTACTCCTTTGAAAGAAGATATCATGTGTTACCTTCTGAATACATTTTTAAGGGAAATGTAATATCAGCTATCATTCCCTTATCTAAAAGTGGTTTATTGTAGTAGCTGGCAAGAGACAAAGGGAACGCAACAAAGGTTAGCCATGCTTTGTGTTAGGAGAGGTAATGGGATGGTTAGACAGTCCTGGATAAGGTGTAAGAATGGAGAAGAAGGTTGGAAAATCAGGGCTTTAGGTTTCTGGTAGATTGTTGATGATGGTATAGAGGGTAAGATAGCAAAAAAAAAAAAAAGGCAAGCAAGTAAAATAAGGAAGACACATTTGCCTACTCCATAAGTTTACATAATTTAGAGGTTGACATCCTGATATGATAATTATTTTATAGCATCTGGTTCAGTGTATTTTATAAATGAAAAAGGAGATTAGATTGACAGAAATTATTAAGATGACTATTTTCAAAGCTCCTTAAGTATTATTCTGCAGTTGGAAAATTTAAATGCTTTGGGTATTTCGCATGACATTCCTTTACTTATTTTGCATGGATCATTACCAAAAAATTCTTTGTTAAAGAATAAGAAATCCATTTAAAGCTTTTTTTAAAAAACAAGTAGAACCTGTGTTTATTGAAGTGCTATACCTAGTAACCCAGATTTGCCAGGGAATAATGGAGGAGAACTTATGAAATACTTTGAGAAGGTTATATATGTTGAAAATTGTCCCAGACTACAAAGTCTTGTCTTGCTCTGTGATCCTGTTTTGCCAAAGGCAAAGCAGTTTCTCAGTGTAGATGGGAGGTGTCCTGACCTGTAAGACAAATTGGTGTCTTTAGAAAAAAGTCTTACCTTGAGCAACAAAGTTTTTTGATGATGAAATCTAGATATAGTAGCTTTAAAATATAGGAGTAATGTATGAAATAATCATTATCTCACACTGTATGCACGATTGTGTTGCTAAATGCCCACATAACTAGCAGAAGATGGGGATATTATAGTGTTATAAGGAGTAATGATTTATAAGAAGATGTAATCCTAACTTTTTTTTTATTGCATAATTTTTCTGCAGGTCTTAATATTTCAAATGAAAGTAGAAGGTGTGGGTGCGTAACAGAGAGAGAGAGAGAGGTGGAGAAGGGGAGAAGGAGTGATTTCATTGAATCTAAGCTAGAGGAACATTTATTTTGTTTATTTTCAGTGTTTCTGATGTTCAACTTTCCTTTAATATAAATGTGTTCATTAAATATGAAATCATTTATTTCCATAATGATAGGCCCTGATTTAACATATTAGAGTTGATGGCATCATAGCACCAGTGGAGGAAATGTTTTATTCATATCAATGGTCCCTTGATATTACTTATAAATATCTCTTATATTATAAATACGTTTTATATAAGATTATCTATATCTCCTCCTTTGTCCACTTTAAGTAACCCCTCCCCTTTTTTTCCCCTAACCTTATTTTTATAGCCTCAAATGGGAATTTAGAGGTGGAGGAAAGAGCAGCTCTCACCTCAAACAAGGAATCCAAACAAGTTGCACAGGAAACGTACCCACTGGGGAAGAAGGAAGCAGCGGAGGAAGACGAAGCTCCCCAGCGTGGGGATGGTGACACAATAGAGGAAAAGGGGGACACAGGACTGTGGGGAAAAGCAGGAGGTATTGAGGTTCCCTTGGGGGAGTGGAAGCCAACAGTAGAACAGCCAGTATTAGTAGAACAATTTAGGGAGAAAAGAGTGATCCCTCCCGGCATGTGGGGATGGTGACACAATAGAGGAAAAGGGGGACACAGGACTGTGGGGAAAAGCAGGAGGTATTGAGGTTCCCTTGGGGGAGTGGAAGCCGACAGTAGAACAGCCAGTATTAGTAGAACAATTTAGGGAGAAAAGAGTGATCCCTCCCGGCATAGCACGTGGGGCAGTGGCAGAAGCAGAAGGGGATGGAAGTCTGGGTCACGAAGGGTTGGAGCCCACAGGAAGAGCAGCAGCAAGTGACTCTGAGGGTCTGAAGGACGATGAGGCTCCTGACGAGTGGGCCTTGATGCAAACAGGGTTCGAGACAAAGAAAGCAGCTTCTGAATGGGGACGAAGTCCGGAGAAGGCAGTGCTTGCAAACAAGGCAGCAGCTCTGCACTCGGAGCATCTTTGGCAGGCAGCAGCCCTGAGAGAGGCAGTGACACCAGAGAATGGAGAGGCTGGGAGCAGGGCGGCTGTGAGTGCGGCCGTGGCCACACAGCCAGATATGGACGGACGTGGACAGGAAGCGGCCACAGACCTAGAGGACAGGGAGCCCGTGGAAGATGCTGCATCCCAGACAGAGGATGGTTCTGGAGAGGCAATGGTTGGGGGAGAGAAACCATCCAGAGAGAGGAAGGAAGTTATGGGGACAGAAACACCCTGGAGCTCCTCTACAGGAGAGACAGGGGCGGCCAGGGCAGGGGAGTCAGAGGGCAGGCCTGAGGAACTGTGCAAGGACGACGTGCAACGGCAGGACAGGGTGACCGAGGCAGACCCCAACAGGGAACATGATAGGAGAGCAATGTCACCTGAGGAATTAGATGGAGCAAGAGAAAGGAGAGCTGAGAGGCCAGTAGCACCTCTGAGGGAAACTGAACCTGAGAGAGAAGAGGTGACAAGGGCAGATGCACCTAAGGATGAAGATGTTCTAGAAGAAGAGCCAACTCTTAAAGGGGAAGAGGGGGAAACAGTGAAGGAAGGGAGATCTGAGGAAGAGACAAAAGCCCCCCACAGTGAAATTGGCTCTGGTGCTGAGGATGAAGTGCCTGCTGAGGCATCTGAACTGACTGAAGATACGGGATTTCCAGAAAATTCACTAACAGAGAGAGTGGTTTCCATGTTTGAAGCAAGACCTGGATCTGAAGAGTCACTGGAAAAACTAACAACTCTGAGGAAGGATGGAGAAGGGGAAAGACTGATCGCAGCCAGAGACATGGAGCACAGGGGCCGAGCAGAGCTGCTGGCCAGGGAGGATGTGGCCCCTTCCAAGCAGGAGCTGGGGCCCCCCTGCCATGGAGGGGGCGCGTCAGGAGCTCCCGCAAGCCAGCTGGCAGGGAAGGCCCAGACACCTGAGGTGACGACCACAGCCACAGGTGAGGCTGAGGAGTGTGCAGCTGAGGATCCAGACTGCCTTGCAGGACTGCAGGGAAGGGAGGAAGAAGGGCCTCTGCAGGGGCAAGAAGGAGCTGGGGACAAGCTTATGATCCAGGAAGATGTTCCTGAGGGAGAGCCCATGATGGCAGGAAAGTCCAATGAAGGAGGGAAGGATAAGGACCCAGAGGAGGAGGAGGATGAAGAGTGTGCTCTGGGGACGGGAGAGATGAAGGACAGGAACACAGAGGGGGATGGGGACATGGGAGGAGGAGCAGTTATGGCTGAGGAAGGTCTCCAAGGAGGAGGAAAGGCAGACACGGCCGCAGAGAAGAGGGAGGTGTGGGCAGATTCCAAGACAGCTGAGGGGCAGACAGTAGCAGAGAAGGCCTCCCCCTCTTCAGATGTTGCTGGGGAGGAAACTTGGCACAGAGAAGATGAGTTACTAGGAAAAGCAGCAGCTGCAGAGAAGGTGGCGGTAGAGGAAATAGCGCTGAGTCCTCCCCCTCTTCAGATGTTGCTGGGGAGGAAACTTGGCACAGAGAGGATGAGTTACTAGGAAAAGCAGCAGCTGCAGAGAAGGTGGCGGTAGAGGAAATAGCGCTGAGCGGGGAGGAGGTGCCAGCGGTGGAGGAGGTGACAGCGACATCAATGCCAGAGGCTGGGGTGGGAGCCCCAGGAGAACCCTCCGATGCAGAAAGGAAGGTCCCTCAGCTAGGACAGGATCAGGAGGAAGGGGAGGTGGAGAGCACTCAGCGTGCAGGGTCGGCGGGAGGGGAGGCAGGGACCCGGAGTGGTGATGGGTGGCTGGGGCCGGGAGCTGCTGAAGAATTCAGACTGAGTAGAGAGAGTCTGCAGGCGGCGGCAACACCTCCTGCCAAGCCCGATTTTGCTGGAACCCAAGAGAAGCAAGAGCAGATGGTGCAAAGGGAAAGTGAGGATGCAGATGTTTCCCTGAACAACAGGAGGGCCTAGGAGACTTCCTGACAGATGGTGAGTTGAGTCTGATCTGTTTGCAGGACTGAGCAGAAGCCCCTCAGTGGGTCTCCTCCCTTGGGCTGGCTTGCCCTTCATTGGCATCTGTGTACACATACATATACACACAGGCTCCGATTCTGTGCCACTTAGCCCAAGCCTGGCAGGCAAGGGACCAGAGCCCACACGAGGTCCCAAGGCTGTTCCCTCTGGGACTTTAAGTCCTACTTTGGTTTTGCAAGTGCAGCTCCCCTGGTAGCAAGATCTGTGTCTACGTGATAGGGCCCCAAGAACGAAACAGAAAGGAAAATGTGCCACAAGAAACAGACCACAGAAATAAAGAATCAAACTCTACTCCAGAATTCATTTCCATTTTAGTGTTTTGAAGGATGGAATGAAGGTAGTCTGTGATCATTTGCCTTTAAATGGGCTCTATGCCTTCGTTTCTGCAGTTTTTAAAATTTTAGTATATATTCATTTTCTCATGTGTAAAATAGAAATACACATTTAATTAATATATAACATATACATATATAAATATTGAAGTTTGAAACTAAAGACCAAAATTACTTTTTTGCATTTCAATGCCCTCACATCCTTAGTACCTATTTTCTACTATTTTTGAGTGATTATATCCATAGTACTACTATTCTTTTTATTATTTTTCAGGATATCTTAAAGATGTCTTCTGGAAGACATAAAGAGTGGAGAAAGAATCACCCGAGCACCTCACCAGGACTTTAGAGTTTCTTGCTCTTTCTCTTTTTTTAATCACTATGCTTGTTTGAGATGGTTCCCAATCTGTCAGTGCTGGTCTGTAGCTCAGTAAACACCCCGAAAATAGCTCAAGTAGATTTGCAGGACCCACCTTCGGAGCAGTGGTTCCTGGAGAACTGAGGCTGTTACACATTCTACACAGCTAACAAATCTATATTCAAATCAAAATGATGGTTTTCAAATTTGATTTTTGTCAAAGATCATGGGAAGGCACCAGTTCTGATGTCTGGGGTTTGTTTAAATTTTTTTATTTCAAAATCAAATATTAGTCTCACTTTCATGCATAAGAGTTTTCCTTGAGATCAGTGGCTTGGGGCTTTACTGACTTGTCTGTGAAAATGAGCTCTAAAGGTCCTTCCACATGTACTCAAGACTATAGATTGCACCAGACCCCTAAGTCCTTTCAGAAGAGGATTCCATGGCATGTTTATTCACTTACACTTAGAAATATTCATTCTTTCTATTTATGCCAGAAGAGTAATTTAAAGTAGAAATCTTATTTCAAAGTGCCCTTTGTTTTTTGTGTGTCTTTCTGTAGTTCTGCTTTCTGAGGTAGATTAGAAAAATGGTAGCTCTGCAGCATTTTATCCCTGAGGGCCTTATTTTTAGAGCCACTCAAATTTAAATCAAAGTCGTAAATAATTTAGCTAAGTGGAGTGAGTATAATAAATACAGCAGATAAACATAGCACATCAGCACCTATACCACCATTCTAGACTCTTTAGTTGATGTCATTCAATGGAAAAGAAACTTAGATTAGTGTGCTCCTCACCTTCCCAAGTTCTGTTATTTCAAACCTGTGAACTAACCTTGCAGTTCATTATAAATTAACAGTCACAATTGCTTTCTAAATTACTCCCTGATATTATTCTCTAGCTGTGCGTCAGCTTGCCTCCTAGAGGTTATGATTTCCTTGAAGACATCTACATATCAGTGCCCCAACGAGCAAATGTTTTGCCACCTTTTCTCTATGGGAGGAGGTGAAAGAAAATATCCTAAAGCAATGATTCTCCAGCCTGACTATACATTAGAATTTCATGGGGCACTTTAGCAAATGACTCAACCCTTGACCCCACCCCAGAGATTCAGATTTAATTAGTTTTAGATGGGTGTACACATCAGGGGTTTTTTTTGTTTGTTTTTAAATTTTCACTTCTTCAGGATGAGAAAAAGAAGTACCACATGTTCTCACTTATTGGTGGGAGCTAAAAAAAAATAAACAAATTAATTTACCCACAAACACACACACACACACAAAAAAAAAAACGGCACTTTAGCAAATGACTCAACCCTTGACCCCACCCCAGAGATTCAGATTTAATTAGTTTTAGATGGGTGTACACATCAGGGGTTTTTTTTGTTTGTTTTTAAATTTTCACTTCTGCTATGTAACCAAAGGTGAGAACAGCTGTCCTAAATTATCATACAGTTCATGCTGGATGATGAACTACTCTCTACGTCCCTAGGGACCAGTAATATTATCAGTATAGATGTTTTTTCGCTTTAATGAATACTGGAGCCATTCAATGATCAAAGATATATTGGACCAGATGTAAATCAGATAATGGACCATTCTCTTGATTGGTAGCATCAACATTACCTGCAACTTGTCGCTGGCCCCTTCTCGTACCTATTAAATTAGAAATTGTGGGTGAGGCCTACCAATTGTTATCATAAGCCCTTCGGGTAATTCTGATATACTCTTAAGTTTGAGAACTGCTGTCATGGACTATTGATTGTATTGAGGATTAGTCTCCATTAGAAAACGGATTGTAGAAGCATTGTGAACTTTCTTTCTTTGTTTCTCTGTGTCTCTGTCTTTCTGTTTGTCTTTTTCTCTTGGAAATGGTACTCACTGTAAAAGTGAAGTCAACCTGAAACTCATTTTTATCATGATTGTATTGATGTGTATATGAAGTCCCTCTGCCCTACCCCCTATTAAAGAATGAGTATTACTCACTGAACATCACAGATCTCCATCGTCTGTCTTATGTTGGATGAGTGGATTTCACCTACATTATATGCAGTTACATTTATGACTGAGCTGGATTACTGTGGGGATCTATAGTATTTGTTCCTGATTTCCACCTCAATGCTGCAGAGCAGCACTTTGAATGCATAGCACCTCACGGGAAAGATTGTAAACTTGTTAATCTCACTGAAAAATGAATTTTGTATGATGTGCTAAATGGAAATTTGCATTGGATTATTTTTATATTTAACACATTCCATCAAAACAATCTGTAACATAATTCTAAAATCTGCATGTGGGTTTAACTGTGAAATTTGTTGTTGTGATATTTTGATTAAGTGAATTCTTTCTCTGCAAATACTATGCAGATAAAATTATTTGTATGTTCAACTGAACTGATTTTTCCCTAGTTTCCTCATTATTAAAATCATAAATAAATCATATGTTTACAGATACAACATGTGAATGGTTCTTTGTAAATAAGACTAGACTTCTGAAATGTTTTGTGTTCTTTCCTTATAAAATTTGAACTCCACAGAGCAAAGAGAATTAGTTTCACTGGGCTGTATTTTTGAGCATATGTATTTATACTGACTGCATTCATACATGTCTTTTATGTACATGGGACAATGTCAAGGAGCAAAATTATTATCCCAGTTTTATAGGTAAGTAGACAAAATCTCAATAAAGTTGAGTGACTTGTCTAAAATCACATTCAATCTCAGATCAGCTCACTCCAAACTCTGACTTTTATTTATTTATTAATCACATACACTACTTCTAGGAAGAGGAATCTTAAATAGATACCGAGATACTACATGTGAACTTCTACATGTTTTTGTTTACTTGTCGAAGGGAAAAAATCAAATCTCATTAATATATCCTCTGTCACTGAGAAGGGAGTTATATTTCCAGCCAGTGTTAATCAGAGAATAAAGTAGATTATTTAAACAATTCAAGAGAAAAACAGACAATCGAAGGAAATGTAGGCAGAATTAGGCTTTTTACTTGAATTTCTTGAGTTAAGCCTTCTCTATGGCTTTATAAACTCTTGTGTTATAAATTTAAAGTATAGTTGAGTTCCTTAAACCTTCTAAGATCAATAATTTTGCCACAATTATTGCCCTTGGAAAATGATTGTTTGAGGAAAAAAAAAGAAAGCCTTAAGGAAGATTCATGAAGTAAGTGAAATATTCCAACAGGCTCAAGGACAGCCCAAAAGAAGCTGCTTCTGACCTTAGGTAATATTTCCTTCCAGTCTTCTGTACCACTCGATTATGTCATTTAAAAAAATTTCCTGTCACCATGCCCACGAGGTACAAGAGAACAGGGAATAAATACATCTGGAATTCTTTAAAAGTTGCTCTCAAACTCATTCTACTGTTTTTTCCACTGTTAATATTTTTCTTCCTTCTAATATTATGCCCTGTGACAGGAAAATTATGCTCTTCAAATTAACTGGAAACTAACTCTGTAAGACAAAATGCTGAATATTTGAGAGTGCACATGCCTTTTTAATTTTGTATTTTTATGGAAGTCTCAGACTGTTTAATAATCCATGCAACCCTTACAATATTTTGGAATGTTGAAATACCCCTATTTTTTTATTAGGGAAAATGAGGTACACAGAAGATTCCTGGTACACATAAGCTGGTGCCAAACATGCATCTTTTGTCAAATGTTTCCTGTTCTTTATTAAATATCTACTTATAATTAAAGGTTATATTAAGGATCCATCAATTATGGGAGAAATCTTGCAGTTGTTCAGGAGCTTAATACTGATGTAACACAGAGACCTTCAAACTGTTGTGAGTGATTGGACCCCGAGGGAAGATGAAATTTTCCATGGGATTCACAGAAAGACTGCAGATGCTCGGCCTCCATACACACTGTGCTAAAATGGACTTGAGAACTAGCCTGTAGCCAAGGTCTTCTCAATCTCCCACCCTCACTTCTCAATAGAGGACAACTCCATTCACTTACCAGTTTTACTGTGATGCAATGGCCCCTACGATGACGCAAAAGAGACAAAGGAACAATTTGAAATATGTTGTAGGGCTCAGAAAGGAAATGACTTTCATAACTGGTTAATAAATCCTGCAAATCAGGTGGTTTCCATTTTTTTTTTTCAACAAAACTAAATGAGGATCTGACTGAATTGTCAGCTAATAAGCCCTTGAAACATCGTTTGGTGTTTTATTGGTTTGTGAGTTTTGGTAAATCACTCAGGAGTTCAAAGAAGTGCCCTGCTGCACAATGCAGCAAAACTACTTTCATTCCCATTCACTTATTTATGTGATGTGCATAGATACTATGTTTTTACATCTGTAAAAATAAGATGAAAAAGAAGTGATGTTGAATGCTCTCATTCTAGAGGTAAATAATATTTGTTCACAGATACATAAACTAATTAAAAATAGAAATCACTGTCTTAAGGGATGCATTTCTACTTTTACTTTTTATGTGTAATGTTTTCCCAAATGTATAATATATGTATGTTGCTTGGACCAAATGTATGTTACTAATAATTGCAACGATAGTTCAGTCTAGAACAAATTTAACACATAGAGACTTATGGTCATGAGAAATTTTTTAAAATTAAATTTTAATTTATATAATAATTTAGTGGCAGAGAAGTATGAGAGGGTGATCAATGAAAGACATTGAACCATAAAAATATACCGCAGTAGAATAAAACTCTGTGAGCAAACTGAAATGGAAATGTAAGTTTAAGAAATGAATATGAGATCCTCTAATGCTAAAGAAGAGCTTAGCATGTATTTTTAAAGCAGATGTCTTAGGTCAGGTTCCCCAAGAAATTCTTTGGAATAGAGGTATGTATGCGGAAGGTGTAGAAAAGAGATGTAACCATTTTATCTTAAAACATCCTATTTTATAACAAGCTAGAACTTACATCTGTAACTACTGCTTAACCTTAGAAAAAATTTGAGATATTAAGAAAAAAATGTGTGAGGGGGTACTGAGAAAAGTCTTTCAGAGGTATCATGTGGACCAAAATACTTGGAGGCCACTAGTGTAAAGGACGAAGCTAATAGCACAGGGCCTTGTTTCTCAAGATACAGGCAGGACAGTCATCATAAGTGAGTAGCTAAAATTTTGGTTATTATGTGTGAGGTTTGTTTTGGCTACATGCTATTAAAGTGATGTCTGTCAGCGGCATGAATGGTGGGTCATGCCGCTGGGTGTCGCTACAAGGAAGGAGTCCTAGCATGACATCTGGCTGTTGCAAGGGAAGGAAGCGTGTTCCTCCAGTGTGTCAAAACACGCCATCAACAGCTGTACTCAAACAGCAACTCAGTGCCTAAAGAGCAAAGCTCTAAACACCTTTCTGTAAAGGAACAGATTGTAAATGTTTCGGGCTTTGTAGGATATCCAGTGGCAATGATTCAACCTTGCCATTTTAGGGGGAAAGCTGCCATAGACAACACTTAAATGAATTGGCGTGGCTCTTCCAATAAACTTTACTTACAAAGAAAGGCCATGTGCCAGATTTGGCCTGAAGACTATAGTTACCATTTTAGGGGGAAAGCTGCCATAGACAACACTTAAATGAATTGGCGTGGCTGTTCCAATAAACTTTACTTACAAAGAAAGGCCATGTGCCAGATTTGGCCTGAAGACTATAGTTTCCTGACCCCTGCTAAAGAGCTGTCAAGTAGATAGTTCTGTAACTACATAGACTAATCCCCACTCCCCAATATACCACAGAAATTTTAGTTTTCAGTAATATGCTTTAGACACGAATATTTGGAAACAACTACCTTAAGAAACTAATTGAAAACCCCTTGGTGGAATGAATGATTTATTAGAATCTTTCTTTTAAAGGCTATTATTAAAAGTTTCATTTTAGTGTCAGGTTTTCAATCCTTTCTTCCCTTTCATCCCCGTCTTCTCTGCTACCTGTGTTAGAACGCAGATGTGAGATGGGAAGAGGGAAACAGAGCTGCAGAATTCTGACAATTACATTTCAAGTAACACAGACTGACTTGTTCTTCCATTGAATATTAGCTCCATGAGAGAAGAGATGTGGTCTATTCTGGTCTATGTGCAATCTCCTGTGCTCAGAATGGTGTCTGGTACATGCTCAATAAATATATAGTAAGTGAATGAATACATAAATTAAAAATGCAGATTGGGGTAACATTGTTATATGTTGTTCTGAAATTTTTTAAGGCCAAACTTGATTTTGAAAGGATACAGAGAGTATCTGGGTTTGTTGACTGCAGAGAAAATAATAATTATTTTCATAAGACCTCAGAGGTGGTAGGGATACTAGAAATCACAGATTACACCTGTCCCTCTTTATGTAGCAGACTAACAAAGCAGAGACCCAGAGAGTCCGAGGAGTGAGTTACATATTTACTAGGGACAAACACAGGATTGTTTTCACTTCACAATGCTGTTTCTCATTAGTCAGATTTTCTTTCCAGAGATACAGAATCCTAATTTCTAATCAAATTCTCTCTGTAATACTCAGTGTTTTTTCACAACAGCTAATTTAGTTCTTGCATTGCAAGCATGGAAGTATAAGTTGTCAAATGCAGTGAAAGGTGAAACATTTTGCTTTTCTGGACTATAGAAATTCTGAAGTTTATCAGTACCCCTTTGTAATTCCCACTGAGACCACCAAGGTTTATAGTTAGAGAGCAGAAATCCCACATGCTAGTTATTTTACATACACAGTTTTCGTTGATTAAAGAAAAGAAAATCTCTGAAAATGAATGGAAACTCCCCCCACTGAACAAATCATATAGTGCCTCCTTACTTAGCAAAGAACTTTCCAGTAGAATTCAACAAATTACAAACCTATCTAAGCATTTATGAATTGGCATAACAAACTCAAATCTAAATCACAGGCTCTCAACTTTAGATGCACATTAAAATTCTCCTGAGGAGGTTTTTTTAAATCTCTGGGGGTGGGAATCTGGCATCAGGACTTAAGAAACTCTTCCCAGGTGACTGCTGTGTGCAGGCAAGCTTTTGCAATGCTGATATCCTCTGAATAGCTACTGAGATTAAAAGGTAAACTGTAAATGTGATTTCACAAGCCAATTTAAATTGGTATAATACAGCATAAGACATTAATCTTTAACTATTTTACTCATTTTATTCTTTTGTTATTTTTCTCTCTTTTACTCTTTTGCTCATTAAGCCTCACAATGCTATGAGGAAGGTAGTAAGACATTAATCTTTAACTATTTTACTCATTTTATTCTTTTACTTGTTATTTTTCTCTCTTTTACTCTTTTGCTCATTAAGCCTCACAATGCTATGAGGAAGGTACTATTAGCCCCATTTTATTTATAGATGATGAAACCGAGGCACAGAAAGGTAAAGGAACATGTTCAAGACACAGAGCTAGGAAGTGCCAGAACTGGAATTCAGCCCAGGCAAAATGGCTCCATCTGGACTAGGGGTTCTCAAAGTTTAGCTTGCA